GATTTTTGTGTGTCACGTGGTATGTTGAATGCAGCACTGGTTCAAATTAGATGTTTGTGATGTAAAAATACAAATTCAATAGTTCTGTACAAATTAGGAACTCAAACTACCAATATTAATAGGCTAGAATTTAAAATAAGAACTTCTTAACTTTTCTGTTTGCTAATATATTGTTCATATACTGAACCAGACACAGTGGCCCCCTGCTCAACTCATTCTATTTTTTGAAATGCTCCCTTATATACACTTCTATATATGACATGTGAATAACCAATTGAAAGCTCAGAATATCCCCCTAGTGGTTTTCTCAACCATTTTGACATGTTATTGTATTGTGTTAATCTCTTTTTTTTTAATATGTACCTCCTATTTCCATTCTGTCATAAAACCCCGTTAATAGTAAAACTCAATACGTAAAAACTGACAGTTCTTGTGCAAAGATGTTAAACAAAATAATAAAATGAAGATCAACGTTTTTTTACTTGCACAAACATTTATTTGTAAAGTTAAAAAATTAAAAATATACAAGTTAAAAGAAACTTAAAATTCTATGTGTATTGGTGTAAATAATTACAACCCGTAATGTACAAACTGTCAACGGGTCGAGTGGGTCTATTAAGGCCACATAGTTCCTGTTTGGGTAACTGTGTTCTTCTATGATGGACGACGCTTAGAAGACAGGAACGACCAAAGAAGACTACGTGATATTGAAGTGTACAATGGAAGACGAAAAAGAAGAGGGTCACATTGTCAACAAATTGAGAAGTTTACATAGAAGACAACTTAATCAACTAAATTTTGTAATGAAATGCAAGAAAAACTGTGTTGTGCCAAATAGTATTATAGTTAAATGTAACTTAAAAGACAATAGGGCAATGTCTATTATAAAACAAACTCAATTTAAAATTCTTAGAAGTATTATCAAAGAAAAGAGGAGTAAAACTGCAAAAACCCAATAAATTAATAATGTGATGCTAAATGAGAAGTACACTAAATTGTTAAACAACCCAAAAATAATAGATATGTCAAAGGAAAATATTACAACAGAACAAATTAAAATTCTTGAGCTAGGTTTGAATTTTTCGGTAGATAACAGTAGGTCAGGGAAAGATGATTTAATAGTGGCTGTAGAAACTAGTTTAAAAAAAATGAAAGTTAATGATAATATTGTAAAGGATACTGTTAGAACATCAGTGGCAAAAATTTTAACTTCAGATACCAGAAAAACTAAAAGAAACTTTTATAATCATGAAGTTAATGAACTCATGCTATTAAAGATAATATGAACATTGTTATTTCTAAAGCAGATAAAGGTGGGGAGATTGTCATATTAGATAAAAATGTGTATAATGATAACATTAAACAACTTTTAAATGATGGTTCTTATATTGAAATCAAGAAAGATCCTACGAATATAATACATGATAAAGTAAGAACGGCTGTGAAAACCTGCAGCTTATTAACAGTTAATGAACAAAGAAATATTGTACTATATCAGTTTAATTTACCAAGGTTTTATGCACTCCCTAAGGTACATAAAATCAGGGTACCGTTCCGCCCTATTGTGGATAACAGCGGATTGTAGACACATTTGGTGGCTAAGTTTATTGTTAAAAAATGTTTGTTTTTAACAAATTCGCATACATACTCAGTTAAAAATTCATTGGAATTTGTTAAAAAAAGGTTAAGAATGTGCACATAATAGAAAGTGATAAATTAGTTGTTTTTTATGTATTATCATTATTTACAAATGTACACGTAGTAGAAGTGTCAAGTTGTTTTAAAATATAGATTACTAGCTAGTAAGATTTTGTCACGGTTAGAAGTACATGATATGAATTTAACAAGATTGTGTGTAACAAATAGTTATTTTAAGATAGGAAATAATGTTTAGAAACTAAATAAACTGGGGTCATCTTTATCACCTTTGTTAGCGGACATTTTCATGTTTGGGGTTGAAACTTATGTGCTAAAAACAGCATTGATAAAACCCGAAGTGTGGTAAGGTACGTGGATGACACGATTCTGGTGTGGCGACATGGTAATGACACATTAATTGAGTTCCAGAAACATCTGAATTTCATTAGCCCTGATATGCAATTCACTTTAAAAGTCGAAGGTTATGGTTGTTTAAATTTTTTAGATGTTTCTGTAAAAAGAGAGAAGGGGTTTCTGTCTACTTTTGTATACAGGAAACCATTCTCAGTTGCCATGCCGCCGCATTTGAGATTGTGTCTTTTATGGTCACAAAAAATATCCTCATTTTCGTCTTTTGTTTATAGGGCTATCAATATTTCGTCATATGATGAGGATTTGATGTTAGAATTAAAGTATTTAAAACAGGTAGTGACTGATAGAGGGTATCAACCTCAAATCCTAGATAGGATGTACAGTAAGTATTATAACAAACTTCAAATTTCTGGATGTACGAAATTGGAAATAACAAAAAAGGAAAATAGAGAAAAAATATGTTTGCCTCATGTTTTACCATGGTCAATAAAAACAGATAATATGTTTAGGCAAAACTTGAATTGCCAAGTAACATTTACTCCTCAATTAAAATTATGTCATATAATTAATGGTTTGAAAGACAAAATTGAATTGAGGGATAAATATGGTATATACAACATTTCATGTACTTGTGGTCTAAGTTATATTGGACAGACAAGTAGGAACCTTAAATTTAGAGTAAAAGAACATCAAAATACTGTAGATAAATTAAAAACGGGTGAATCGGCTTTGGCGGAACATATGACGAATTTTAAACATATTATTGATTTGGATAATGTAAAAATTTGTAAACTGTTAACAGATAAAGATGAATTAAATATAAGAGAATCTTTAGAAATTGTTAAAAACAAAATAAGTTTAAATAAAGATTTAGGCCCAGGAGCCATTGAAATAAATTTTTGGAAATTGTTGTAAATGGTGCCATTGTACTTGTATGCTAATTATACACGTACCTTAGGTTTATAAGCAGTGTTATGTGTACTTCTTGATGGATTCTCATGAAGGTGGTGTAATTATTTACACAGAAACATGCAGAGTTTAAATTTTTTTTAGCCTGTATATTTTTAATTATTTAACTTTACAAATAAATGTTTGTGTAAGTAAAAATGTTGATCTTTGTTTTATTATTTTATTTAACATCTTTGCATAAGAACTGTCAGTTTTTAAATATTGAACACTGTACTAATTGATAAATTAAATGCTGGGGCCATCAATTAATCAGTCAACAAATACCTTTAATTGCCTAGCTCTAACTGTCATTATTATTATTAACTTTAAAACTTGATTAGGTGACATACTGAGGGCTCTATTTGTGCTTAAATATTTAACATGACTTCAAAAGTCTGTACTAATGATTGCATGATAGTAAAAGTTTTTTTTACTTACTCATTGCAAACACTTACTCTGTTACTACAAAGTTAATGTGATATAATAAGAGGCAAATATTTACACAGCTATGTTCACAGGTTCACTTTATTTTCCAGTCACATTAGGGTGCCAAATACCTGGGTTCTTGTGAAAGTGTACTTTTATGTCGAGGAATGTAGAAGTCAAGATCATTGGTATCAACAGGAATGTAGGCCTTCAGAAAGTTATTTAACAATGTTTGAAGAGCACTGTATAGGCCTCCTTTAAAAAAACCCAATACAATTTAGAACTGTTTGTTATTAGTTTGGTACAAACATTTATTCCTTTATATACTAGAAAAAGATTAAAAAAAAATTGAGATTGATGACCATAAAGAATGAAAGAAGAACTTTAGCAATGTATGTACAGTAAGAGTAAATGCTGATTGAGAGTTACATGTTGTAGTAGGTGTAATTCAGGCAGTTACAAAAAAATTATAATTTATTTGTGACAAAAATAGTTCATGAAGTTGTCATAATCATTAACATTCATAATAGTTATATAATGCTTGGAGACGGCTTGAATGGGTAATAAAGAAAAACTGTAATATAAGTTTAACAGCAAATGTATAATGTTTCGACAAGGTTTTGTTATCATCAGGTACATTCATAATAGTTGTATAATGAAATATAGTGAATTTTCCAAGAAATTATCTTGAATGCATGGAGATAAAGTAACTAACATGAATATATTTCCAGATGTTTATATAATATTAACAATCACTGCTTCAATAGTTGGAATACTTAGAATTTTCATTAAAGAAACCAGTAGCTTGATAAAATTTTGAATTCCTGTTATTTGCTTCTTATCTAGGCAACAAAAAATTATAGCTGGTGGCCAAAAGTAGAACAAGTATTATAAAAAATATTTTTCAGACCTTAAATATTATATATAACATTGTTACTTGTTAATAAAACTCCTTAAATAAAGGTCTTGTTCCAAATATCTTAATTCTATGTAAATGGAACTCGAAATATTCATTCAGTCACATAACTGACACCACATACATATATGCACACACAATTCTGCATTTGTTTTATAAATTATCTGACTTGATCGTACATCATGGTGTTTTATGCCAATTTCTTACATAAATTGTACTTGAAAATAGTAATAAAACTAGCCCTAAATTTATTTTATGTGTAAAAGCCTACAATAGCACAGTTTTCTGCAGGAAAGTATAGTTATTCATAAGAATGTGAAAAATAAAGATTACATTCCTGAATGGAAGATATAGTTAAGAATGGAATTTATATGTATTTGGTGGGAATACTAGGTTAATCTTGCAGTGTATTTTGCCTCATCTCGAGGATACCTTTGAGAGCTATCTGTTTGATGGACATATAAGTCTTTAAATTTCTTTACTATTACAAGGATTGTATATTGTCACAATTAACATGATACCATTGAATGATATCAGTTGTACAATTTTACAATTCAGTATTGTTATTTTTTAAGTGAAGTTATTCATAGATCCTCTGCTTAAACCATCTTTGAGTTGCGCACTGTAGCTTTAGTTCACAATAACCTGATGAGCATTTTGTAGTTTCATGAAGTTGCACCTGTTATATATGTTAATTTTTGGAACTTAACTTTATGGCAGGATTACCTTACTCATCTTGGAAGTTTCTCATCTTGTATCCTGTTGTTAGTACACTTGTAGCTACTGTTATTGGTACTTTTCAATGCATGCATTGGAAGGAGAATTAGTATAAGCTGTTTCATTCTTAGTTGAATGGTTCTGTAACCAATTGCACTGTGTTTGCTATTACCTGGAGCTATGGGTGAGAGAGTAAAACTTGTTTGGCATGACCCATTGGCATCTTCCAGTGTGAGACAGTTTTGTGTTCTTGTGTCAATATTACTATGTTGCTCTTGAGTTTTATCTGTTGAAGGTGCATTATGATGCAATATCTTGAGACTATTTGGTGTCATTAATTGTGGCCAACAGTGACTGGCATCAGACAGTTTCATGCAATGTCTGAATGGAATTCCTCCATTCTTACCACTGTCTAGTCACAACACAGCAATATAGCCACTGGCTATTTAGGTGAAATATGTTTCATTTTACTGCAATGAAGATTAATTATTTTATAGACCACTAATTTTTTCTTCTACAGAACCAATAGGTGCCTTTTCTCATTTCCCATTTTAGTGTACAAATGCTAAGTATATGGATCAAATTGTCTTTAAAATTCACATTTTAGAAATGAAACAAAATTTTATAGAGATGCTTAACTCTGCTGTTACTGATGTACTCTCCTCCCCGCATGATATGGCTGCAATAAAAAAAAAATTGAATGCATAGAATATGCCAGGTGGAGACCTGGCACAGGTAGTATCATGTGAGTACAATATGGATGTTTTAGAGATGCTACAGATAAAGTAGCATGAGTATGTATGTATGGTAAAAACAGAAGAGTAAAAGCCATAAACCTTAAAAATTACAAGAGAAATAATTATAAGGAGTATCAAACAAAGAATCTTTAAACTTTATTTTTCCTTCAAAAATGTTTATTTAAGCAGTTTTATGCCATTTTCATACAGTACAGCATATTTTCTAGTTGTGTCATTTCAAAGGGATCTA